TATTTAATCACACACAAAATAATTCACACCAGACAGAAACTCTATGATTGTGATGTATGTGGACGGATGTTTAGCTTTAAGAGTAATTTAAACCGACACATGAGAATCCACACAGAGCCAAACTCCTTCGGTTGCGACGTGTGCGGACAAGCGTTTAACTTTAAGAGTAATTTATGCAGACACATGAGAATCCACACATGAGACAAACCGTTTGTTTGTCGTGCATGTGGACGAGGATTTGGCTCAAAGGCGCAGCTAATGGCACGTGAAAATCCACACGAGAGGGAAGGCAGTTTGAATATCAAAGTGGTTTCGGCCTATTTGATGAGGTTATTAGTTTGTGTTGTGTGGAAGTTACTTGTTACTTTGTGTATACCGTTCTGCTTTTTTGTGATTGTTTATTTTTGCAAAGCCGTTTACAACCAGAATAGAATGCCATAATTTGGGAAACTTGATAATCCCTTATTTGTTCACAATGGAAACGTAGCAAATGTTGACACTAAGAAGTTGAACCATTTTTAAGAAACGATAAAGCTGATGGCAGCAACACATCGAAAAAGTACTGGTTCATGTTTTCTACTGTTTTCCCCCCTTTCTTTTAGAAACAGTCTGTAAAAGTCTAAGACCTGAGGAGACCATTGGAGTTTTTTTGGGGAATGTTGTCCCGTTCTGGTCTGGGTGGATTCTAGCTGTTCAACAATCCTTGGTCTTGATTTTTGGCTGAATGGGAGCAGATGTTCTAAAACCTGTATATACTTTTCTGCATTGATAGTTCCTTTCCAAATGTGTAAGCTGCCCATGCCAGAAACACTAATGCACCCACATACCATCAGAGAGGCAGACTTTTAAACTGTGCGCTGACAATAAGTTGCATGGTCCTTCTCCTCTTTAGTAATGGAGGATGTCGTGTTTGTGGATTCTTAAAAAAAACAGCAACTTCAGATTTGGATCCGTCTGACCTCAGAACAGTTCTCCACGTTGTTTCAGGTCACTTTAAATTAGCTCTGGTCCAGAGAAGACGGCAGCGGTTCTGGGTGGGGTTCAGATACGGCTTCTTCTTTGCCTGATAGCGCTTTAAGCAGCATTTGTGGATTAACTGTGCTTACAGATCTGTGGAAGGGTTCCTGAGCCCAGAACAGAACCAGACCTGGTTTTAATGCAGTGGCCCCCGAGGGACCGAAGATCATGACCAGCCAATGTTGACTTTCAGACTCTAGATACTAGTTTCACTTTCTGAAATGATTGACAAAAAGTATTGATCTTTTTCACAATATTCAATTCGTTGAGCTGCACGTGAATGTTCAGTCCCTTGCTCCATTGTTTTGTACTTTTGTAAGTAAGATCTTTTGTTTACAATAAAAATAAATTTGGAGGGGGGAAACAGCGTTATTTTGTTCATTTATAAAGTTTTTTGATATCACAATACAAAGCAGCTACCAACATACATTTAATAAAATGAACAAAAGCCAGGGAGATTAATCCAGTAAATACAGTTTAGTGCATAAATCAAATATTTTAACAGTTTTTCTGTTTTTAGAGTCAGAGATGTTTACAATGTACTGTCCCGACTCCTTGTGGAACGCCAGGGAAAAGGAAATGACGTGATTTGTGTTTGTGGTATTTCTCTTAAGAGTATTATTAGATTATTACATAGTTATTTCTGTTTTTTGCTTTTGATATTGTGGACTCCAAACAATACACTGTCCCAACCTAAACAGAAATCCGAGTCAATCTTGGTCTGGATGAACCGAATTTCTTCTTTCCATAAGGCGCCCGTAGTGTGACAGAGCCAGATGTTTCAGATTCAGACTCACAGACAATGTTTCACACATACAGTATAGCTTTCTTAAATTTTAACATGCACTGCTTGGCAGGGAAACATCCATGTATTAATATATATTCTATACTCTCACTTTGTGTATAATGAAGTATCTATAAGGAAAGTTTCACACATTCATTCAACCTTTATTTTTGACCCAGTTTAGACTATGAACAGGAGGAGTAAAATCTGTTTGAAATAATGATATCGAATATAATTTTTGGATTTGTCTGGTGTTTGTTTACCAGAATGGCAGTGGGCGGCGGCGTTCACGCGCACACACACATTTGTTCATAGACCTTTTCATTCAACCTTTATTTAAACAGGTTAGTCCCATTGAGCCACGAGAACTCATTTACAAGAGAAACCTGAATTTTAACACAGAGTGATAACATTGACAGCAATAGACATTCAAATGATGCATACAATTTTAAGATTTTTTTTTTTTTTTGGGGGGGGGGGGTAACAATTGAAAACAAAATGATATGTTTATAAGGATATCCTTGTAAAAGATTAATAACCTCAATGGCTTTCTTTCCTATTAAAATAAAGGTTTAATAAAATGTTAACTCTCTAAGCTGAAGCGTTGACAGGCTGCAGTTCACGATTTGAACTGCAGGTGGCGCTGCGTAGAAACCAACGCGGCAGCTCCGCCGCGATAAATTCACCAAAAGAAGAAACGCAAAAAATTCTCTCCTTTCAAACGTATCTTTAGCTTTTAAGCTAGTTTTAACGTCTATAACGTTTACTAAAACATGGAGTTAGACCCAGCTATGTCTGCTTAATGACTGTTTAGGGGAATTTTGTTTTAAAGATGTGGAAACGGCAGCAGGTCGAAGAAAGACTGTTGGAAACGTCGCAGCTTTTTGGAAGAACGGAAAACCTGCGACAGAAAATAGATCCTGTTTTCACCCATCACAGACCAGGTTTGTGTGTTTGTTTAATAAATTAATAATCATCCACATATTTATACATTTACCCCAAAACGTTAATGTAAAAATACCACCAAGCAAATGAATATAGATTTGGAAATTTTTGATGCATAAAATTAGATTAATCGCAACACTGCATAAATCAGAAAGGTCATCCAACCCATAAAAAATGAATCAGTAATTTAAGTGTTTTTAATGAAACTATAAACATTTAGGCCTGTTGACTGAATTTAAAGGTCTTTAAAATAACTTTAATGATACCTAGATCATGTGTATCTGTGTTAAAAATAGGAAAGTTGCAGCATTTTAAAGTAAAAACTATGAAGATTGTTAGTGTCCTGAATTCTGATTAAAAACAATTTGAAAAGTTCATAAAATTCTGCTTAATTTCTACATATTTTCAGACATTCTTGCATGAAAATTCAGAATGTTTTAACTTTTTTAATGACATAAAAAACTCATAATAAGGTTGTTTTATTCGATAATCAATAATAGATCTTAATTCACCCCAACGATTGAGTTTATTACTGCAGGAATTTATAATATAAATATAAAAACTAAAAGTTTTTTTTTTTTTTTTTTTTACCTTCAGGAAAATCAAACAGTTTTTTTGGTGCAAAAACTCAAATTTTAGTATTATGGTATGTCATAGTAAACAACTAAATGACAAATTCAGTTCTGGGTAATTTTCCTATTTTTGATCTAATCGAGGTCCCATTATTCCAATTTACTAGACAAGAAAAGTATATTTTTTTATACAGAATAAGTTAAAGTCATATAAATATCCACAAATATACTATCATATAGATGTGCTGTTATTAAATTATTAGAATGAAATAGTCTGGCAGTAACCTTTTCATTCACATGGAGTTCACAACAATCAGTTCACAGATGATGTATGTGTAAGTTACAGTTGCTCATAATGTACTTGTGCTTCAGTTTCCCCTGCAGATGTTCAGCAGATCGTGGTGGTTAAAGAAGAAGCTCCTCAAAAATGGAGACCTGATGTGGACCAGCAGGACCCTGAGCCCCACATGAAGGAGGAAGAGGAGGAACTGTGGACCAGTGAGGAGGGAGAGCACCTTAACGAGGAGGAGACTGACGCCACCATGTTTTCATTCACTTCAGTTCATTTAAGGAGTGACGATGAGGATGAGAAACCTCTGCTCTTACAGCTTCATCAAACTGAAGATGGAGGTCCTCCTAGCAGCAGCTCAGCTGACCTGATGAAAGAAGAATCTGGTGGAGAGGAGTGTGGAGGGGCAGGAAGTATCTTGAACTCAAATCTAAAGACTCATGAAGACAATTCCAGCTCTTCAGACACTGAAGTCAGTGAGGATGATGAAGAGGAAGAGGATGTGAACGATCCTGATGCCCGGTTGAAACAATTATCAGATTCTGGGTCTACAGCTGAAGACAGTTGTGTTGGAGTAAATTTAACTCCGGCTTCAGGCAGGAAAATCCGAACAAGTCCAAAATTATTCGGTTGTGATAATTGTGGTAAAAGGTTTACCAGAAAAACAACCCTAAACACACACATGAGAGTCCACACAGGAGACAAACCGTTTGTTTGTGATGTTTGCAGGCAGAGATTTAGCCGAAAGAACACTTTAAACATCCACCTGAGAGTCCATACAGGACAGAAACCTTTTAGCTGTGATGTTTGTGGACAGATATTTAGCCATAAAACAACTTTAGTCACACACATGAGAGTCCACACCGGCCAGAAGCCCTTTGATTGTGACGTTTGTGGACAGAAATTCAGCCAACAGGCACATTTAATCACACACATGAGAATCCACACCGGAGACAAACCATTCGACTGTGATGTCTGTGGGCAAAAATTTAGCCACAAGACAACGTTGGTTGTCCACACGAGAATCCACACTGGAGATAATCCGTTTGTTTGTGACGTTTGCGGACAAAGATTTAGACGCAAGAACACTTTGAACAGACACCTGAGAGTCCACACAGGACAGAAGCCGTTCAGCTGTGACGTGTGTGGACAACGATTTAAACATAAAAACACTTTAGTGGGACACATGAGAGTTCACACTGGGCAGAAACCATTCGGTTGTGAGGTGTGCAGTCAAAAATTTGTCCAAAGATCCCATTTAACTGCGCACACGAGAGTGCACACGGGACAGAGACCGTTTGGTTGTGACGCGTGTGGACAGAGATTCAGCCGAAAGCCACATTTGACCGCGCACATGAGAATCCACACAGGAGACAAACCGTTTGGTTGTGAGGTGTGCGAACGAAGGTTCAGCCAAAAGGTGAATTTAAACACGCACATGAGACTCCACTCGAAAGAGAAACCATTTGTTTGTGACGTATGACGAAAACGATTTTTCCAAATATAAGATGATGCTATAAACTTCAATACATTTATCATCAGGTCTAAAAAGTTTAATCAAAGAGTCAATGTAGAAATGTCATATAGAGCTGAAACCAGATGTTTACATACACTATAAAAAGACATATTTTGTCTGACATTAAATAAGAATAAACATTTCTTGTTTTAGGGTCAGTTAGGATTAACAAAATACATTAAGTTGTGACTAAACATTTTAGGAAATCCCAAATGATGATGTCATAATTTTTGGAAGTGTTTGATCTGACATAATTTTATGTGACATCTCAAACACACTGTCTTATTGTGTGGCATCTTGGGAATTTTTTTAATAAATCAGCGAAGATGTCAAGAAGAGAACCATCAACAGCTCTGGTTCATCTCTGGGTGCAGTTTCCATATTTCTGCAGTTGAAATCTAAGCACCATGGGAATGTTCATCATATCGCTCAGGAAGGAGACGGGTTCTGTGTTCCTGAGGTGAAATGTGTGACTCAACCCCCCAAACAAAAGCTGCAGACCTCGTGAAGATGCTGCTGAAGCTGGTCGGAGTGAAACGAGTCCTGGACCAACGTGGACTGAAAGGCCACTCGGTGAGGAAGAAGCCGTTTCACCAAAAGCTCCAAAATATAAAAAAGGGACAGATTAGTTTGTAAATGGACACAGAGACAAACACCTTAATGTTTGGAGACGTGTCCTGTGGTCTGATGAAGTCCCCCAGCTGTGAAGCACGGAGGTGGCAGCATCATCTTGTGGGGTCTGTTGCTGCAGGAGGAACTGGTCCACTTCACTAAATAGACGGCGTCACGAGGAGAGAACATTCAAGCATCATCTCAAGAGATCGGCCAGAAGGTTGAAGCTTGGATACAAACGTGTCCTCCAGATGGACAGTGACCCTCAGCACTCTGTGGCTTAAAGATAAGAAAGTCCATGTTCTGGAGCGGCCATTACAAACCCTGATGTCAGTCCTAGAAAAGATTTGTGGGCGGAGCTAAAAAGCCAATATGGCCTCCAAACCTGACTCGGTTTCCACCAGTTCTGTCGGGAGGAACGAGACAAAATTTCAGCAAACTATCGTGGGAAGGAAACTCAAAGCTTCTGACCCGTCAGTTTAACGATACCGAATACTTTAAAGTTGTTACTTTAAAGGATTGACTAAATGTTTGTCATTATCTGGACATTTGTTCAGAACAGAAATATCTTTACTGACCTAAAACTGGAATGGCTCATTTTTTGTCGGGGAGGAAAAATGGTTGTCTTTTTATACAATTTATGTAAACATGAAGTTTTAATTGTTTATGACATAAACATAATACCATTTAATAAAAACGTATAAACACATCTCCATCGTGGTTTTGTCACGTGCACGTTGCACTTGTCTTTTGTGTCTGAGCTACATTTAATTGGTGATTTATTTTTGCCATTTGTGCTTAAAATGTAAAGGTAAAAATCTGTTCATTGTTAATGTTCCTCCAAAAAGTCTGGTGAAGTTCGTTTATATTTGGACAAAAAGTTTCCAGGATGGATTATAATACTGTTTGAAACAGCGTTCTGTCGCTGTGCTTCAGTTTTAAACTGTTAAAATAAAACCTCTGAAAATAAATAATGCCCTAGAAATGTTTATAGATTTATTTAAAGAGGTTTTTTTAAAGTTATTGTTGCACTCTGGTTTTGCAGTAGTAACTTTATAATTATATTTATAATCTACAAAAGTCTTGTCAATAAGCATCTGATCATATTTATATAAAATGTGGATCCCAGCTGACGTTTTATTCACAGTATTTTCTGTATTTACTGTAGTTTTTTAACTACATTTTTATCCTCATGCACATTTTATTTGCTGTAACTCAAAAGGCTGAGGATGAAAAGTTTTCTCCTAATATAAATAAACCAAAATGTTTATTTAAAATGGAGAAAAACACAAAAAAATTAAGTCTTAATTGGAAATAATTCAATTATATAAGTCTCGTTTAGAGGTTTCCTTGGAAAAATGATTGATGAAAACATAAATTGGATCAATTATCGTTTGTTTTTGTAACACTATTGGTGAAATTTATTGTTTAGTGCAGCAGTTTTCAAAGTTTTCCCAAAAGCTGACCCCAACTTTTGTTTGAAATATTACTAATAATAAACCAATTAAACGTTAAATTTGTTGATATACAAACACCCGTAAAAAAGACAACTGTTCTGCTCTCAGCAGCAGTTTTTACATTTAATTTGGAAATTATTTCACATCTCATCAAGTGGAGTTTTAAAATTTGAACCAAGTTTATTTTGTTAAAGAGAATTTGCTAAATTTGTTTCAGGTTGAATCATAAAGCTTCTTTGTTTTAATTAATTTTGTGTCAGTAAATCTTTTTATTATTATTATTTACACTTCTGGAGTTTTCCTTCCAGCATTAATGTTGTCGAACCTTAAATTTTCTGTTATATTTATTATATTTACACTGTTATAATTGCAAATGAAGCCACTTGGCTAGTTTTAGTTTCCATTTTAAGCCCTTACCTGTCGTCTGGCACCAGAACGAGACCATGAACAGCGTCTGAAATGACTTCTTTAACCACAAATGAGAAATAGAAACTGCAAACACGGCTCATTTTTCTGTTATTGAGTTTTGGAAGGAAAGAACTCTGAAGCTAAAATTACATTTATTCCATGATGTTAAAATATAAGATGTTTGACTAAAAGAACATGTTAATTTTACACATGTTTTTATTAGAAAAAAAAAATTCACATTCAGTCATGTTTCTAATCCGTGCAGGTAAACTGGAATTATTTAGAGATAGTATAATAAAGACAAAACAAAAAATTAGAAAATAAATATACACAAAATCTGGATAAACTGTTAATTTCACCATCAAAACCAAAATGTAGTTGAAGTTTTCACGGGACTAATCAGTTTTCAATGAAGATGCAGAGCTCTAAACTCATTCTGGGAACAATTAAAATATTTTGTCAGCTGATAGAAATAACACAAGCCACTTCTCATTTCTCATTCGATCTGCTTTAATACATTTCCACTATTATCAGTAATTGTTAAGGTTTCGTTAGCTTTCGAGCTGGCCATGGCCTCTGTTTTTGCTGCGTTTATTTTCAGAACTTTACTCTCAAGTGCCTGATGCCACCGTCTGAAACTGTCTTGGAGATTAACTTCAGAATCTCCAGCCACAACTAGGTCATCTGCATACAACATATCCCATGGCACCTCTCTCCTAAAAAGCTCAGTAACTGTGTCCATCACAACAATAAACAGTGGGCTGAGACACGAACCCTGATGAACGCCAACTTTAATTTCAAATGCTGTTGTGTTGCCTTTGCCAGTTCTGACTGTTGTTTTAACACCTTCGTACATGGAACTAACAATCTGAACTAGCTTCTCCGTAATGCCTTTCTGTCCGAGGCTCCAGTAAACCACTTCTCGCGGGACTCTGTCGAAAGCTGAATGAAAGTCGAAATGATTCCATAAGCCACTTTTAGTTTCCATTAATTATTAAAACTTTAGCTGGTCATTAAAATGTTTTGCAACACAGAAACCTGGAAGTCTGGGATTGTTTCTTGGGTGTTGTTTTTTTTTTTTTTTGTCGCCTTTAAGTTCAGCCGGATCAAGAGTTTTGTTCAGAACCGGCCCGTCAGAATATCCCTGTTGTCTGCACCAGAAAACAACAAAACAAATGCATGACAAAAATAAAATGCAGAGACAACATTTACCCGCAGGGAACAGCAACTATCTGGTAATCACGTGTTTCTAATTTTTATTTTCTGTTAAAAATCTTTTGAAGAATGAAGAATGATCATCTTGTCATAAAATCTACGTTATACCTTCTAGCCCAGTTCAGTAGGAATATAAAGAAGATAGTTCTGTTTGTCTTCGGTTCTTATTTTAGACAACAAAGGACAAATAGAACTTGGATGTGTACAGAAATGTGAAACAGGGCAGCTATGTATTTTTAATGGTGGTTAAATCAAATTTAACTCAAGCGATGATCGTGTTCTGATTTACCAGAACTGTTCAGAACCTCATGCAGCGTTCGTGATTAAACAGTTGCTGCTGGTTCTTGCTGTGTTCCTCTCGGCTTCGTGTTAGGGTCCGCATCTCAGAGCAGCGGGTGGCACCGCCTCGTCTCCTGCTGGTGGAGCAGCGTGGCAGGAGGGGCAGCATTCAGCCTCCTGCCCTGGAACTTCTGGTTCTGCAGCTGAAATGAGGTCCAGGTTTGGTCCGATGGAGGCCGCTGCCAGCTGAGTTATCTCAGGAGTCTCTTCAGCTGGTGTCTCCTCTGGAGCAGCTTCAGCATCCGTCTCCTCAGCAGGATATGAACCTTCCTCCTGCTGGGCTGCAGCGTCAGCAGAACTTTCTTCTGCAGCTGGGTTCAGTTCATCGTCTTCACCCTCTGCAGACTTTCCCTCCTTGTTTGGACCATCAGCAGCTTCTTCATCTCCCCACAGAGAAGCTGATGACTTTCCATCAGTTCCTTTTCTGTGCACAACGTTCACCTGGGTGTCCTCATGCCAACTGGTCAAGATCCTCCCAGCTGTGAGCAGATCTGACACAAATGGAGGAGAAGCTGCCGTCAGTGTTTCATACAGACAACCCGCAGAATGACCATCTGCACCAGCAGTGTTCAGTCCTGGTCCTAAAGGGCCATCACCCTGCGTGTTTTAGATGATTTTGTGCTTTGCCATGCACGCTTTGAATGGATGAGAGATTAACAGGCTGACACAGAACTTGAAGACCTGCTGAAGAGTAGGGAATCATCTAAAGCATGCAGAATAGAGGCCCTTGAGAACCAGGACTGGACACCACTGGTCTAAACTTGTATGATCACTTTAAACTGTTCACCTTTCCGACTAAATTATACAATAAACAAAGGTCTTCCATCAACTCCTGTTTAATTTTGCTTTAAAGCAAACAGACTTTTGTGATATATATATATATATATATATATATATATATATATATAT